TATTATCAAGGAATAGAAATTAATATACTCCTCTTTCTCTTGAGGGTTAAAATTACACTTGTTACCTCTGCTAAATTTTGGAAATTACATATACTACTCCTTTCTCTTGAGGGTTAATATTAGTTAACACCACTGATTTTGGACGAATTGCTTGACGAGATGATCTCCGTACGTCCCGAGATCATTGTAAGTCTCAACGAAGTGTGCCACTGTTGCTTGGGGTTGCCTTTGCCGTCAAATTGTTGAAACTTTGGAGGTATATAGCCCATTGACATCTTTAGATCATCAATCCTTTGTGTGTATGGCTTGACATAGGGTGATGATCATTTCGAGCTTCCTTCCAACTTGTCTTCGATAGTTCTGATCAGCGTCATCACTTGATCTACATGAATCAGCCATTCGGGAGAAACTTGAAGTTCTTGAGCTGGAGCCTTATCGTTTTCAAATGGCTGTTGTTTTGTGGATGTCTCGACTTCGTCTTGAGCCTCTATCTGATTCTCCACAGCTTTACTAGCATCGACTTTGTCTATCATGTTGATCAACTTGGCAATTTGAGAATCTCGTTGTTGAACATGCTTTGCGAGTCCCTCAATGGCCTTTGTTAAACTTGCAATTTGCTCTTCCATGGTTGTAGCGTTTGTTGTCATGACGGATGCCACCTCAGAGTAGCTTGATGTTGAACGAGGCGTGGGCTGTAGAATCTCTCGTTTTGAACCTTTCACGTCTGTGCTTGTGTTGGCAAGAGGTGGTAAGCCTTTCTGAACAGTTTGGGAGCGTCGAGCTAGTCTTGGAGGATGCTTGCAACTTCTTAGCCATACTCCTTGTAACTAAACCCACACATGATGAATCCGAAGTAGCAGTCTTCATTGCAAACGTAGAGCAGTCACTGCAACACTTTGAGGATCTTCGAGAGAGAGAAGAGATAAGAGGTAGAGATGTCCCTTCGGGCGTGCCAAAATTTGTAGCAACAAATTCTTATCTGCGTTACATGTTGCAAACTCTAATTTGATTCTCTGATTCTTCTCTCAAGATTTATATATGATTGACTTTGAATTCCAGAGTCGGGTCGGGTTTTGACTTGAAGATCTTGGAGTTGGATTTCGACTTGAAGAT